ATATCATCAACTTCCAAAAAATTGTCTCTCTGATTGCAAATCTGAGGCTGCCGTCGTCAAATTTCAGAGGCAATTTTTTGGATGTTAATGTGTATGTGCGTTTGTGTATCTCAAAGACACAAATACACATACATCATTAACCTCTAAAATATTGTCTTTCTGGTAAGATTATAATGAGCAACAGATCTGGAGTTCCATCTTGTAAGATTTCCTAACCCTTGTGATCTCAGAATAATCTGATTATGTCGGCGGTTTTCTATATAAACCGTCGTGGTTATTTCAATTCTTGTCGTTAGGTAGATCTACCGACGTAGGATAACAAAATCGAAGAAATAAATTTTTTTAAAAAATTCTTATTCAGACGACGGTTTAAATATAATTTATGACGTATAAAGTGGACAAATACGACGTTAAATTCTATAATACGTCGTTATATGAAAACCCCAACTTGGTAAGATTGAAAGATGTCGTCGTAGAAATACGAGAAAGACGTCGTTATATTTACCTTTGCCGTAGTTGTACATTAATTTAATACGGCGGGATTTTGTATTTTACCGCCGTGGATTTATTTGTAATTTTACGTCGCCTTATACGAAAACTTGGTCGTGTTAATTTCTGGGTAAAAACGACGGCTTTTTTTGAAACCGTCGTCTTTACTTTCTACGTCGGTCGGTTCATAACTTCCGCCGTTATTTGTTGGCTATGATTTTACCTCATGAAAATCCTATTTCAATAAGACGTCGGTTTTTAAATTAAGTACGTCGTGTTTTTGGAACAGCCATTTGAAACTCCATTTTTTAGTTGTCTAATGTGTTATTACACGGCGGTTTTATAAAACCGTCGTCTTTTAAAAAACAACGACGGTTTTCACGTAGACCGTCGTGTTTTTGTGGTCGTCTTTTTCACTTTTTGTAGTAGTGAGTGCCCACTGGATTGTGAAGTTCAATCTTTGTGTTCGAGGCTTTGATTTTTGGATATAAGCTGGACCACCTTGGCTCATGGACTGTGTGCGTAGCTATTGTCCTATAGAGTACTCTTCCTAATTATACTCTTACTATGTTTTTGGTATGTGTGGCCCTCTTTCCTACTCGAAGGTTTTGTCCCATTGCGTTTTCCTCATGAAGGTTTTAACGAGGCCATCTTTATAAACATACCTGGTTGATGTTGTTAATGATAAGTCGATCTTTTCCTTAAAATAAAAATAAAAATAAAAATCTTTACTCAAGCTATTGAGAAAGCTGCTCAAACCTTAAAAAAATCTTTTAATTGATTTCCAAAAAAAAAAAAAAAAATCTAGTAAAAAAGTTAATTTCCATAAATCTACTATTTATTTTTCTTATTCTACTAATCATAATTTTAAAGATCGAATTTCAGCTATTTTAAATATACCTCATAAAAATACTTTAGAAAAATATTTAAGTATTCCAAATATTATTAAATGGAAGGACCTTCTAATAAGCAAGATCTTCTTAATAAAATTTCAATGACTGGAAATCTAATTTTTTTTTCTAGGGTTGGAAACATTTTATTAATTAATTCACACATTCTAAGAGCATGTCTAATCGATATGTCCAATTGCCACATAGACATGAAATGACAAAAATTACAGGTTGAAGTTGCTCCAACCGAGTAGTCAAATCCTCCATAGATTTTAAGGCTGGAAATGATATGTCAAAAATAATATATCAAAAAGCTTGATGTCAAATATTATTTTAATATTTTTTTAGTCATGAATCCCGTTATCATTTACTCTCTTTTAAAACTTTATGCATCATATGGACCTCATTTGCTTTTAGAAATATAATAAAATAATATTATATTTGGTATTTTGGGTGGAGTTCAATTTTTTTTCTAAAATGTCAAATTGCCATATAAACCACCAAATTCAAATTTAACATTTTGCATTTGACATCTCCCTTGAAGATGTTTTAAGGCCCGTTCGGTAATGTTTTCGAAAAATGTTTTCTTATAATATTTTCAGAGAATAAAAACAATAAAACGAATTTGCATTTTCAGGAAATTAAAATGCTTCTGGTAGATTAATTAGAAAACATCTTCAGAAAACAAAAATAATGAAAACGTGTCTAGTAGTATAATTTGAAATAATAATATGTGAGTTATTTTTATGAAAATGTTTTCCATGATAATGAAAACAACTTTTTTTTGTTTTCTACAAGCACATGAACTTGTTTTTATTTTATGTAAACATTCTCAGTGTTTCCTGTTTTGGGGCCACCGAACGTGTTTTTGCCTCATTTTTGTTATCTGGAAATGAAAACAACTCCTTAAAAGGTTATTGAACGGCGATAATGTCTTATTTTCCTTTCTCCAAAAATACCATCTCAGGGGTATTTTTTGGTTGGATGATGTGAGGTAGTTGAGAATCAAGTTGGATAACTTTGCTGATGTCACCATCCACTAAGAAGAAAATGAGAATCTTTTACTTTCGTACTCTCTCTCACGAGAGTATGAAATTAGCGTCGTTGTGCGTTTGTAAGCGCACCAGGCGGACCATGTTTTGTTCCTCCCTCGAGTTCTTCAGAGCCCTGTGGTTCTGGCAACTCTTCACTGCAACAAGTGTCTCTATCCACAGCAGTGACTTTCTCTCTCTAGATTTTTTCTATGCATGTAGCTCTTCTTTCTTTGCTTCCCTGCAGATTTCTTCGCCAGTTTCTCCATTCAAAGGGCGGATAATCGGAGCTCTCTTCGGTTTCACCGTACAAAGCCACGGCAAGGCGAATTATCGAGGAGGTAAAGTGCATTTCCGATATTAACAAGCAGCGAGCTTCACGATCAGAGAGGTCCTCTGCATTTGCAGCTCGCGCGGGTAAATTTTCTTTGAGCAATGCTACTTTTTAATTGTTTAATTGCGGTTGTAAGTTGTAGCTAATTATTTTCTCGTTGTGCTTGTTGTTGATTAGGGTTTTTTGTTATGTTTGTGTAAGTGATTACGAGTTTCTTTATGCAACTGATGTAATGCATTGCACTGTTTGGTTGCTGCTTAAGAAAGCAGGACATGGAGGGGTAGAAAAACGGTTTTAGATTTTTTTTTGTTCTTTGATTATTTGATGTGAAGAGAACTTGTTCAAGATTTTGTTCCTCGTTTTCCTCCATTCAGTAAACAAATTGGGGGTTTACGTTTTAGTAGAGATTATTTTGTAGTCTGCTTGATGTTGAAGAAAGAGGGTGGGTTGGGGTTTTGTGGATGTTATTATATGGCTGAGACTGTGGTGGCCTACAAATCCTGAAATTAGGAGGAATAGGAAATAAGAGAGGTTTGGTCCATATTGAAATCTACAAGGTTTGGCCATTTGTTGTTTTAAAGAATATCAGAAAAAGCAGATATTTGCTTTGCATGCAAAAGGAATTTTTTTTTAACTTGTGGCCCTATGGATATTGTACTCTTGGCAATTTATGCCGTGTTCTTTGGTGATAATGGGGATACTCAAGTTGTGTCGGCTTGCTGTGCTGTGTCATGTTCATGTCGTTCGTGTCCAGTACTAGCCAACCCCATTCCTAACGCATGTTTAGCTAGTTGTTTTAGATGATTTGATAGTAACCCAACTCATTGTGTTTAAACACGCTTGAAAAATAAATGATAACTTAGGATTTTATCGAATGTATCATTTAGAATCTTAGGAGATAGGAGGGCGTCAACAGTGAAAGTGCATTCGGGCATAACATAAAAATTTTGGGCAACTTTGTCTTTACTTTCCGTTTTTCCAATTTAGGTATTGCCATGAGAAATTATAATTGTAACTTTAATGATGATGTGATATTATTAATTTCTTGTTTCCTTCATTAACGTTGTGCTAATTAATGAGAATTTCTTTAGCAACAGTCCTCAGGATAGCTCAGCAGCTGGGTTCATTTGGGACACGATGATTATTGCTTAACCGCCCATGTAAGCTCGATCATCAGTCTGCCTATTTGAAAAGTCTGTATCACAGACAAAATGGCTTGGTTGAGTCCTTCTTTTGATGGCTCAACAACTTCCATTACTTGATCTTAAATCTTGCAGTGATATCTTTTATTACAGATGTGTTACATAATGGCAATGAATATCTAATCCCAGTTCTCTGTTACAAAGTCTGTTATCCAAGTTAGGGAATATAATTATTTGTTGCTTATATAGTTAATCTTTGAATTTGTTTGGCACTTATTCCTTCTGTGTATTACTTGGACAGCTTGGAAATCTCTGCGTGCGCCAAACATAGCTTATAGAGAAATGGTACTAGTTTTCTAACTAAGTTTTGTTTTCATTCATTTCATTAATCCGTCATTAATTTTTAGTCACTCTTCATTTTGAAATAGTAAAATGTTGTGGTGTGTGCAGACCTTTTTGGTTATTGCACACAATTTGAAAACACCTGTTATTGCGGGGTCTGTCTTGTTCCAAATTTAAAGATTGTCCTTTCTTGCTGAATCTGGAATTTAGACAGCTATTTATTTGGCTTTTATACAATTTGTTACAGTCTGGGCTATTTACTTCTTTTCGTTGTTTGCGTGTGTTTGTACGAACTTTGTGCAGGATGGAAATACTTCTGGCGAAGATGGGAATGATATTGACTGGAGTACAGAAGATGAGCTGGAAATTGAGAGCTTCACTTTATCTTCTTCTTCAAGTCTGACAGTTCCAGGTAGAGAAGCTATTGTGGGCTCTGGGGAGGTAAACGTTTATGCATCAGTTGTTCTGAAATATAATATATACCTGATGAATATTTAGACAGTATTTAATATATATTACATATTTCTTCCTATAGGCGAGCTCATCTCAAGGTCCTTCAAATTCCAAAGTTGTTGATCATTTTGTTGGGATGGGATTTTCTGGAAAAATGGTTGCCAAAGCAATTCAGGAACATGGTAAGAGCACTGTATCATTTCATTTCAACACCAGTTTTCACCTTGACTGTTTCAATTATAACCCCATATAACATCGGTTTTATGGAATATCCAGGAGAGGAGAATACAGATTCAATTCTTGAAACCCTCCTTACATATTCAGTGAGTCAACATATCTTCATTTGCCAATGCTGCTTTGGACACTTATTCTTGGTGATATAGATAATTTGGGTTTTGAGCTTGGTACCCTCTAATCGTATTTGACGTAATAAATTTATTAGTTTATGTGGAACAAAACTTCACTTAATAAGTCCATGAACATAGGGATTTGCATTCAATGCTTTCCATTCTGGGGAGAAAGGGGGGTGGGGTGGGGGTGTGTTCTATTCAATTTAAGATGTTTTAGATTGAGGTTGTTAAGTTACATATGATGACTTCTCATCCATCCAATGAAGTCTGTGTTTTCTTACAAGAAACCTAAGAAATTTCCTTTGTTAGTGGCTCTTTTTTCTTTTTGGGGTTCTCATTTCTTGTGAAATTTCTAGTCTGCTCATGTGGTTTTCTTACTCAAAATCATATCTACCCTGTTAGATCATTAAGTAATTAGTCAAGGTAACATAAAGCACATGTTTAATTCTTTTTATTGCAATGTGAATGGGACTCATATGTATTCTGGTTCTCACGTTCACATACTTTAAGAACATAAATTCTTCAGAACTTATAAGGAAGAAAGAAGACGAAGAATTTCGTTTGTTTTCTTGCTGTATTTTTTGCAGGCTCTTGAAAGTTCTCCCCAAGAACAGCAACAAGTTGATTGTGATGATCAGTTTTCTTCGGATAGCAAGGCGAGCTTTCCGGATGATTTTTCAGATATCGATAGTTATTCTGATAATGAGGTAGTTGTTCGCCTCAGCAATAGGTTGTATGTTATGGATTTTTATGTCTTTTAGAAGAGTGTGAGCTGACATTTTCCTTTTTTGCTAAGTTTGTATTTCGGTATTTCCCCAATCCTCCAAGCAACAAATATATGATATCATTTTGCAATTTACATGTGCGTATTCAATAGTAATTTAATTTAACTATTATGCAGGACATCCTAAATCCTACATCCGAAAAAAACAAAAAGTTATTATCCTTGGTCAATATGGGGTACACAGTAGAGGAGGCTTCAATAGCAATAGAAAGATGTGGTATAAGTTTTATCTTTATGCATTACTTATATTTTATATTGCTTTCATTACTTATATTTTATATTGCTTTTATCATTTCCTGTACATATCTCCGGTTGGTCACTTGATTTTTTATTTTTTATTTTTAAATGAACGTTATTTGCTTGATTTGATTCTGTTGATATCCTGTAAATTGCTATTTATTCATTTTAGGATTTAGTTTAGCACCAAACCGAACTCCAGAAATATAGATAAAGCACATTGATTTGGGATCTAACAGATGTTTTGAAAAACATACTGCTTACTTTCTTGGGTAATGTGACTAGAATGTTTTGCATACCATAAATAGGCCGGTGATGTGGGTGCCAAAAAAACTCCTTATATGCCCTGTTGTTTAATTGCAAATTCAACCTGGTTTGCCCAAGTCGATTTGGCTCTCTCAGTCTCTTTCTCAATTCTAATAGTTTGTGATCACCTGTATCTCCCTCCTCAGCCCTCCTTTTCCCCTTCAAACACTGCAGGTCTTGACTCCACAGTTGTTGAGTTGACTGATTTCATATGTGCTGCTCAAATGGCAAGGGCCGAAGATGCCCATCTTCCTCTTGAAGAGAAGGTATTGTAGTATAGAATATTATAGTCTCTTGAGTTTTCTACAAAATCAGTACGTATTCATGCCATGTTCAGTAGATTGTGATTGTTGGCTCTACTTTTGCAGCCTAGACTAAATCATGCATACAAGAAGAGGAAACTTCTCGAGTATGAGCTGCTGAAAAAGAAAAAGCATATGCGACTTGGGAACAAGACCATAGACGAAGATGATGAGGCAGTTCATCTCCCAAATCCAATGGTTGGGTTTGGCATCCCATCTGAACCATGCTTGAAAACACACAGGAACCTTCCAGAGGCAGCTTTAGGCCCACCGTATTTCTATTATGAGAATGTGGCACTTACTCCTAAAGGGGTTTGGAGTACTATATCCCGCTTCCTATATGATGTACAACCGGAGTTTGTTGACTCCAAGTATTTCTGTGCTGCTGCAAGGAAAAGAGGTTATGTTCACAATCTTCCTATTGAAAACAGATTTCCTCTTATTCCGCTTCCCCCACACACCATACATGAGGCATTTCCCTTGATAAGGAAATGGTGGCCTTCTTGGGATACGCGGACAAAGTTGAACTGCTTGCTAACCTCCATTGCCAGTGCAAAATCAACAGAGAGGATCAGGAAGGCTCTTGAGGATTATGATGGCGAACCACCACTGAGAGTCCAAAAATATGTTCTTGATGAATGCCGGAAGTGGAATCTGGTGTGGGTAGGAAGAAATAAGGTTGCCCCACTTGAGCCTGATGAAGTGGAAATGCTTTTGGGCTTCCCAAAGAACCACACAAGGGGAATAAGCAGGACTGACAGATACAAATCACTCGGGAATTCATTCCAGGTAGTGAATTCTGTGTGTTTCATTGGAATTTAGATATCTTTCATATTCCTTTTTAATATATGCTGCAGTTCATATCTACTGGTAAATCCTGAAAATCTCAAAATCTATGTCTTTTCCTTTAGTTTTTTGTGTGCAGAAGCATGACATAGTTTCAATGCTGCTTTCTAACAGAGTTTCCCTAGTATAGTTTCAAGTTAGAATTTTCTGTTTGTCAGATAGTATCTGCATTTTTCTTATAAGTTCAACTCATGCCAGATTGATACAGTGGCATACCATCTGTCAGTATTGAAAGATATGTTTCCCAATGGCATCAACCTCCTCTCTCTTTTCTCTGGGATTGGCGGGGCAGAAATAGCTCTTCACCGGCTTGGTATTCGTCTAAAGAATGTCGTGTCGGTAGAGATCTCTGCAGTGAATAGAAATGTTGTGAGGAGTTGGTGGGAACAGACAAACCAGAGAGGGAATTTGTATGACCTTGATGATGTACAGCAGCTGAACGGTGACAGACTGGAGCATTATATGACTTTATTTGGTGGTTTTGATCTTGTAGTTGGTGGGAGTCCATGCAACAATCTTACAGGCAGCAACAGGCTTCATCGAGATGGACTCGAGGGTAAAGAATCTTCCCTCTTTTATCACTACTATCGTATACTAGATTTAGTCAGGTCCATAAAGACATAAAACAATTGATTCCATGTAAATATGCTTCAATCCCCCTTGCATTGGAACAGCAATAAGCAAGACCTGTTGTTTTTTATTTTTCTCAAGTTTGGACTTAGTTTCTTTCCTATACTTTCTTTCTTTTCCTTCGAATTATCTTACAATTGATCCTCTCAAGTCTTTATTTGCATGATTTCTGCCCCATCTCCCTCTTCTCTAGGCAAGTTCAAGCGACACTACGGTCATTTTTGTTAGGCTCATGCTCCTTTCTTTTTTAGGCTTTTTTGAAACAAAAAGATGGAAGTTTTATTTCACTAGAGAAACTGGACAGTAAAGCGAACAAGCAATCCAACGTGAATATAGGAGAGAAAAATATCAATTCAAGCTACTTCTAGTTTAACAAACTAAAACATACTCATGACACTACATCCTTCTAGTCTAGAAAGAAGGGTTCCTAAAATTGGGAGAAACAGATGCCCAAAGCACTACCCAGTACTTGACCGTATCCCATGCACTTCCTCCTCTTCCACCCCCCTAACATCTTCAAAATTTCGTCCCATTTCTTTTCGAACAAATAGCCCAAAATGATCTCATATCTCCTGCTAAATCAACAAGACAAGAAAACATGTACCACAATCTTCTCCGCACTCTTGCATAAATTTGGTACACTATTGTTAGCATGTCAAGGACTTGTCATACATCTTTAGAGTAAATTGCAGGATTTTACCTTCCCGTGTGCCACCAATCAAGCCGAACCTTAATTTTGAGTGGAACCTCTAGATTTCCAAATCATGCAGAAGGGAAGGAACAGAGGACTACCCGATACGCATCTCAACCGATTTATAAAAAATATGCATAAGAAAATTGACCTCAACTCTCTACACACCATCTTCTTGCATCCTCCCTATCTGGGAATAATCTCACGTCCTCCAGCAGCCTTAGCACGTTTGTCATCTCCTTCTCTCAGATTCCTTCTCAAAGCAAAACCCCAGCTATAAAGGATTGATTTGTGCATTTACGTGTGGTTTTTTATTTTGTTTTTTGTTAACCTTTTATTTATGTATAGAGATGCATTTGAGGGGTAAGACTCGTTACGTTTCCCCTTACTAGGTGTATCTTGCTACGTTCATTTATAAAATTTACTCATATCTTTGACATTAGTATGTCAGTTTTGCTCGTTCGGCTTTCAAATACGTATAAATTTTTTTTAGCAATCAAATAGTAGAATTCGAAGCACCCACGTTGGACACACTATTGTGCCACCCCATTCATGCCTTTGATAATGTAACGAATCCTAACCAATTAATAATTAATAGAAATCTTGGTTCCCCTATCTCATCATATCAATTAGTTGGCAGCCATCATAGCAAAACTTAATAAAACCAAAAGCATGAAAATCACGTTCTATTTAAACAATCATCACAGAAAGTTCCATACATGGTTTGAAAAAAGATCCTCTCATTCTTCAGTTAGGGATCTTCTTTTTACCATTTACAAAACCCACTGGGTGAAAAGTAAAAATGCAACAAGGGCCAAAATAAAAACTACCTCTAATCCTCCTACTTGTATCATTTACCCTTGTTTAATTGGCTCAATTTCTTATTTACATCCCTTTCAACTATATTATTCATATCTCAACAAACACTGTAAAGAAACAACATTGCTCACCAACGCAAAAAATATACATATATATATATATATATATATTGTCAGATGGAAATTTGATTTAACATTTCAATCACCTCTTTCATTGGGGGCCTTTCTCTTGAAATCTCACCAGCACAATGACAAGCAATCCTAAAATACTCCTTCACATTGGCTTCATCCAAGTCGTCCTTGGAAATACCAGGGTCGACCATTTCCATTTGGCAGTTTTGGGCCTCCATTTTCCTAGCCCATTCCACCAAGCCCATTTCTGTGCCGTCGAACTTCGTGGGCAAATTGGGCCGTTTTCCGGTCGCAACCTCCAACATCAAAACCCCGAAGCTAAACACATCGGCTCTCACGGTTGCCCCCGTGAACCCTTCCTTGTACTCCGGCGGCATGTACCCCATGGTACCGGCAAACTGCGTCGAGACATGCGAACGGGAGGCGTCCATCCTCCGAGCCAGCCCGAAATCAGCAATATGGGCCTCAAACTCCGAGTCCAACAACACATTACTAGCCTTGATATCCCTATGAATAATTGGCTTGTCCAACCCATGCAAATAAGCCAGCCCATTAGCCACACCCCTAACGATCTTGATCCTCGTTTTCCAAGATAACGGTAATCCAAACCCGGTCCCGTCGTCATACCCATCACCGTCGCTTGACGACGAGTCGTTAAGCCAACGGTCCAGATTGCCCCGCTCAATAAACTCATAAATCAATATCCTATCGGCGCCGGAGACACAATATCCCAAAATCTTAACGATATTTGGGTGCCGGAGCTTACCTAGGGTTTCCATCTCCGCCTGAAATTCGCGAAACCCTTGGAAGGCGTCTGGATCGAGCTTCTTGACGGCGACGGTGCGGCCGTCGGAGAACTGGGCCTTGTAGACGAAGCCGAAGCCGCCGTCGCCTACGACGAGATCGGCGGAGAAATTCTTGGTGGCCTTGACGACCTCTTCCATGGAGACCTTGAGCGAGGGATCGAAGGAAAAGCTTTCGTCGACGGCGACGGAGGTGAGGGCGGTGGCAGGCGGGTTGCGGACGGGTCGGGTGTGGCGGGAGCGGCTCGATTTGGGTTTGGAGCCCTTACAGAAGATGTAGAGGCAGGCGAATACT